CTACTTCTTGCTTATAAATATAACTTGAAGCCATTTCTGATCGATTTCCTTTTTTTGTAGGCAGAGTACAGTGAGTATTCTTTTCCACTTGCCATCTGCATTGTGTTGTCAGGTATGTATGAAGATGATTTGGATAATTCCGAAGATATTATCTACACCGGCCAAGGTGGGCATGACTTGCTTGGAAATAAGCGTCAAATTAAGGATCAGAAGATGGAACGTGGCAACTTAGCTTTAAAGGTCATTTTCTTCCATTGTTTTCCCTTGTTCCCGATCTAGCCTTTATGTGTGATGCTCACTTATTGGCATTGGCAAATGTGTTTTACTTTTTGAGTCCTGACTGACACTTTCTGTGCTATAATCCTGTATTTTTTTAATGTGTGGTGTAAAGAATGGAAGCAAGACTTTCGCATTAAAATATTTGCCATTTGAAATCAGTCTTCAGGAACTTCCAATCGATTTTAGGAATTTTTTTTGTGTGTATATAAGACTGTTAAATATGTGGATTGTTTATCTACATTTCTGTTGCTAGCCCAATCTTCCTGTTGAACGAACTGAAATGCAACTGTTAGAAAGTGGATTTGGGGACTGGGTGGGGGCTCTACCCAACCATGATGATGTAATACTCTGCCCATTAGTGAATTCCCCTGAACATCAGCAAGACACTGAATAGTGCAGGCAAAACACTTTAAATATTATTCTTTTTCGTTACTCACTTATTAATTATGGTGAACAAAACACCATAGAAGACCATTCTGCCCAATTGTAATTTTCTTATCGGCATAATTAATAACTGATTTCTTTAGCCTAATGAATAACTGACCTCATGGTCTTGTTAATGATGACCTTTGTATCTCTGGAGTTATGATAAATGCAGCATATTTGACAACCGAAATCATGAAGGGACAATAGCAGTTTAGTTCTGCAAAAGGCCACGAATATATCTGTAGTTTGTATTTTCTATTGTCTCTCTGCAAAACAGCTAAAATAAAACTGTTGTTGTTGCCTTTTTTAAATGTCAATTCTTTCATCAGGGAACTCTCCTCTTGACCAAGTGTGTTGATGTGTTAGTGATGAGGTGACAAGTTAACACGATCTTGTTAGTTTATGCCATGCAGATTGGTTGAAATTCCTAAAGGAAGATGATCATTATCGATTAACTATTATATGTATGCTTGAAATTGGTGATTGTGGATTTATTCTTTGCTGGGATGGTCCCACTGAGAATTATTAGAGAGAGCTGATGAACAAAAATAATGAGGTTTCTGGATTTATTACACTGGAAATATGATATATCTTACATATGTTTTCGATGTTCTCACTTTCAATTTTTGATTGATATTCTTCTACTTCTTCCTCCTATTGCTTCTTAACCTCCATATTTATTTCATCTATAAATTCGTATGCTTTTTCATAGTTGATTTTATAGCTGTTTACGTCGATTTTATCTTTTTGAACAGTAACATGCACATCTGCTACTTAACTTATCCATTTGTCGTCTTGCAGAATAGCATGTTGCATGATGTGCCAGTCAGAGTTGTTCGTGGCCATGAATCAGCAAGCAGCTACTGTGGCAAAGTTTACACCTATGATGGTTTGTATAAGGTAGAAGTCGTAAAATACCTTATTATTGAACTCGGTTGATTGAAAATTTATGTTTGCTTGATTATCCCATCAATGTTACAATCTGGACTATGTATTGGACTTTTACCTTTCTAAAATGGTTCATTGAGTCACTGCTTCATGTTCTGAGAATGAGAAACCAAAATGCAAGTTACAATCTTCAATATTATTAGTGCTGATGTAAAAAAACCTAAAGAGTAGCAAGAAGAATAATTCTACTTTTATTTCTATCGGTTCCACATGGAATACCTGTCTGATCATACACGAGATGATGAAAATGCTCCCAGTTAAAATAAGTAAGTTTGGCCTTAACCTCTCTAATGTGGTTTCACGTGCGGAAAAAGCTATCCTGATACCATGTTTTGTTGCTAATAGCGCCATACTTCATCCCTGAACATTTGATTTACTTCTAAAAACTTTCCACCCAATAGTTCTCTGCAAAGCAATGAGAAATTTTGCAAAGTCCCATAACTTTCTCTAGATACTTTTTCCTGGCTTGTTATGATATTCTACCAATACTAATCCAAAAAACTATTTCCTCCTTACTCCACTTGGCCCCAATCTTCCTATGTTCTGTTTATTCTCAAGGACACAACTTCTTCCCTCGGTCTAACAGGGTAATGACGGATGCTACTTATAAACTTATTGAGAGATGAAGCAAACCATCTATAGCCTCCAGAGAGTGGCCATTGGAGTATTCGTACTTGTATTATAGAATTGATTCAGTTTGGATGATAAATTCAAACCAACTACAACCTATTATCTTCATTGGATAATAAACAGTTTGTGTTTATGAGAAGCATGATGGTATTTCATGGATGGAGGCTGTTTCTGTAAGTCTATGCTTATGGTCTTCAATGAAGAATTATTTTCATTCTCAAAACACATGCAATTTCACCCACAAGATTTTTTTCGACTTCTTCTACCTCCTTCTCTTTTCCCACTTCTCTTTTTCTAACGATATCATTATTTCTTAGTTCTGATGATCTCTGCTTCCTTTCTTTAATTTTTTTCCCCTCTTTTTTCTTCTCCTTTCTCTATTTCCAGTTGATTAGGTTACAAAAACTGATGGGTTAAACCAGGAGAGCACTATGCTATAGAACTATTCTGGTCACTAAGAAGCACAAGGTCAAGCTTCCATTTCTTCTTCAAGTTTTCTGCGGCAAGTCTCCCCCTCATTGAGATTGACCATACATAAATCGGTCTTTGAGCACAGATCAGTTGATTTTAGTTCGAGATTAGGAAGGAGTTAGCATAGTGCCTATTACATTATTTCCTTAATGGAAAAAAACTTTCTTGTAAGGGGATCAAATTCTAGTTTGACATTGGATCAAATTTTCTGTTTAGAATTGCATTCAGTGGTCTGGTTGGAAACCATCTGAATTTTCCTGCCGTGGTTTGGCAGGTTAAGATGGAGTCATGCAGTGCTTTTGTTGATTTTTCTGTTTGATTATCGTCTTTAAAACAGGTGCACAAATATTGGGCTGAGAAAGGCGTCTCTGGATTTACAGTCTTCAAGTATCAACTTAAGCGACTGAAAGGGCAGCCTGCCCTTACTACTAACCAGGTTTCTTGTGGCAATTAATTCATCTGGATTTATGTTTCGTTGTTTGTTAATTATTCTTGATTCAATGTTTCTTGATTTAGATTTCTTCCACTATACTTGATTTTATGACCTAAAAATGAATGTTAGTTTAAACTGATAACATCAAAAGATCAAAAATAGAGAAAATGTTGAGGTTAAACATTGATTGTCACATAACGGATATTATAGGAATAGTGTGCATTGTGTTCATTACAGATCCAAGAAAAGGATGGAAACGCTAGAGAATCAATTGTTTTGTTAGAGCCTAGTTTTGATCCATGTTGAGAATTGATCTTGATTGAGATTCTTGCAACTTGGAGAATGAAAGGAGTCAATCTTCATGATCCTCCTCTTCTAGGAGCAGAGTTTCCGCAATGCCAAAATCTTATATCAATTATTTCGGTTTCCTGCTTAAGTACAGGTTACATGAGTTAATGGGCTAGGCCCATTACACTAGTCTTTAAGTGGATCTGTTAACAGTCTAATAGATCCACTTAACACAGGGCATGACATAGAAGGACGAAAATACAGTGAAAAGAAACAGATGGAAAGGAAAAACACCCCTTCTCAAGTTGGGTATGGATGTTTTCCATGCCCAACTTGGACACCAGCCTTTGAAATACTGGTCTTGTGAGTCCTTTTGTGAATATGCCAGCAACATGTTCTGATGTCCCAACATATATCAGATCTACATCTCTTGTTTCTACTTTTTCTTTGATAAAATGTCGATCTACTTCAATATGTTTAGTCCTGTCATGTTGTACAGGATTTCGGGCAATAGCTATTGCTGACTTGTTGTCACAAAATAATTTCATGTGATTTGATTGGTTGACTCTCAATTCGTCCAGTAAACCTCGAATCCATAAGTCTTCGCGTATCCCTTGGGCCAACGCCCTGAATTTTGCTTCAGCACCAGATTGTGCAACTACTTGTTTCTTTTTGCTTCTCCAAGTCACAAGATTTCCACAAACAAATGTACAATAGCCTGATGTTGATCTGTGATCTATAACAGACCCTGCATAATCGGGATTGGTATAGATTTCAACAGATTGATTCCCTCCTTTTTTGAATAGAATGCCCTGTCCTGTTGTTGTCTTTAAATATTTCAACACTCGATATGCTGCCTGTAGGTGTATCTCCCTTGGATCATTTGTATACTGACTGAGTACATTCACTGCAAATGTTATATCCGGACGGGTATGATTTAGATATATCAACCTTTTAATCAACCATCGATATGAGCTTTTTTCCACCTGATCAAAGTCTTTACCTTCTCCCAAACTTAGGTTGGGATCAATTGGAGTGTCAGCAGGTTTACACTCCAATTTCCAGTCTTTTGAAGTAAATCAAGAATATACTTGTGTTGTGAAAGAAATACACCTTTTGAATATGCAACCTCAATTCCCAAGAAATATTTTAATCTTCCTAGGTATTTGATATCAAATTCTCTAGATAGATTTTGACCAAGGCATTTAGTCTCTTCAATGTCATCTCCTGTTATGATGATATCATCTGCATACACAATTAAGGCTGTAACCTTATTTGGGTCACCACGCTTAATAAAGAGAGTGTGATCCCCATTGCTTTGTATGTACCCAAATCCTTTCATAGCTTAAGTGAATCTCCCAAACCAGGCTCAAGGTGATTGTTTTAAGCCATATAGAGATTTCTTCAAGCTGCAAATAACATTATTTTGATGGGTAAATGTGTAACCTAGAGGTACATTTACATATGCTTCTTCCTCCAAATTTCTTTGAAGAAATGCATTCTTCACATCAAACTGATGTATTTTCTATCCTAGATTTACTGCCAATGCTATAAGTATCCGGATGGTATTCAGCTTTGCAACAGGAGCAAATGTCTCAAAATAATCAATTCCATAAGATTGTGAATAGCCTTTAGCCACCAACCTTGTCTTGTATCTTTCCGATGTTCCATCAGCTTTAAACTTAGGAGTATATACCCACTTGTTGCCAACCACCTTTTTTCCTGAAGGCAAAGGTACGAAGTCCAATGTACAGTTCTTCTCTAGTGCATCAATCTCTTCATCCATGGCATGACTCCATTCTTTGTGTGACAGGGCTTCTTCTACTATCTTGGGGATAACAATTGTCTTCATGTTCATGAGAAAAGTCTTGTACGATGGTGTTAACCTATCATATGATAGGTAGTTGACCATAGGATAGAGTGGTTTATTTATACAACTTCTCTTTCCTTTGCATAGAGCAATGGGTCAATCTAGTTGCTCCTCATCAATGGCTTCAGTGGACTCATGATCCTCTTCTTGATCAGTATTATAAATTTGAGATGTGTCTCTTGTACATGGACTACTTTCTTCTGTTGGTTCTCTTTACAGTGCAGGTAAATCATTCATCTCAATTGGTATATTTTGTGTCTCCACTCTAGATCGTCTCCTATACACTTGTATTTCTCTGATTCTAGGAATGGGTGTCTCTTGAATCATGAATTCATTTATCTCTCATGGCTCCCCCAATCTGGGTCTACCCACTCGACCGCAGCACCCCTCTAGGTTAGCTGCCAAGTGTTGGCTTGCCGGCGGGTGAAATATTTTTATATGTTATTCTTTTATATTTTTAAATAATAAAAAATTACACTAAGTATTTTAACTTCAGACTTCTAAAAGTAACAATATATCTTATGTGACAATCAAAAAGAATATTTCAAGACCAATCTCAGTATCAATGGCAACAATCGAGTTCTTTAACTCTTGTGGATTTTTCACCCTATAATATGGTTCCAACTCATTAAAAGTCACTAGCTGAGATGAAGAATTAATTAGAAGCAAGATTATAACACTTATAACCCTTCTGTGTAGTTGAGTACCCAACAAATATGCATTTTATCGATTGTGGATCAAGTTTTCCCACTATGCCTTATGCATGAACATAAATTGTGCATCCAGATACCCATAGACGAAGATGAGTCTTTAGTTTCACATGAGGATAGAATTTACTCAACAGTTCCATAGGACTCTGTTTCTCTAGTGTTTTTGTTGGAATCCTATTAATAAGATGAGTACTAGTGAGAACAGCTTCACCCTAATATGTTTTTTCTTGAAACAAAAGAGCTCTAACTATATCTAGTAAGCATCTAATTTTTCTCTCAGCCACTGAATTTTGTTGGGGTGTGTTGACACAAGATGACTCATAATTATCTTTTTCTGATTAAAGTAAGAGGACACAGCAGAATTGAATTAGTCTCTAGCATTATTTAATCTAAACCTTTTGACAACAGTTCCGAATTGATTATAGATCATTTCACAAAAAGATGTTACCACTTGGGTGGTGTCTGATTTTGATTTTAGGAGGTAAACCCAAGTAAACCTGGTACAGTCATCAACAAACAAGATAAACCACCTGCATCCAGACAAGCTAGTCATAGGTGCTGGCCCCAAATATCACTGTGTATATGATATAAAGGGTTTGTACGATGTTCACCAGCATTTCCAAATGAGGAACATTTGTGTTTGGCCAATTGGCAAGTGTCACACACTAAAGTTCTTACATCAACACCTTCAAACCTAGAAGGAAACCATGTTTTTAGGAGATCAAAGGAAGGATGTCTAACACGACAGTGTTGTAACAATATACTATTCTTTTTGTGTTCACTGACTTTACTCCAAGGTGACTACTGTACATACATCGTCGCATGATCATCCTCTTCCCAGTAGAGCAAGTCTCCTCCCTTAACATGTCCAATCTTTAGTCCTGAGACCTTGTCACACAATAAATATCCATTGCCCTCAAGAATGAAACGACAATTAATATCTTTAACAAGTTTTTGTGGTGAAATCAAATGAGGCTTTGATTTAGGCACATGTAAAACATTTCTTAAAGTGCCTAAATGATTTATTCTCAAGTCCCCAATCTCTTCAACCGGTAGAAGCCCACCGCCAGCAGTAATAACTTTCCTCTGCCCATCACATTTCGTATAATCAATAAATTTGCACACACTTGAGGTCATATGGTCTGTGGTGCCAGAGTCAAAGTATCCAAGACAATCTAGAAAAACTGTTGAATCCATATGATTTTGAGAAAAGTTTATTCTCACCTGACTGAATGCAAGGATGTAGAGCTCAACATATTCTTGAGTTTCTCTACTTCCTCCCTCAGTTTTTCAAATTCATCACCCTTCTGCTGATTACTAGGATTGAGAGGTTCCTTCATCGCAAATTGACCTTCTATAGTCTCTGCTGGTTGAGAAGTGGCCACATATGCTCTCCCCTGTTGAGGTGGTCGTCCATGTAGCTTTCAGCAGTTTTCTCTTATATGCCACTTCTTCTTGCAATATGAACACCAAAGGTTTTCTTTGTTATCCCACTTCTGATATCTTCCCTGTGATGCAGTGATTGGGTCTTTATTTCCCTCTTTTATCTCTAATTGATTCCCCTGATCTTGCTTGCTGGAGACAAAGGCTGTTGACTCCTTCTTCCCAATATTAATTAGACTCAATCTACTCTCCTCTTCCATATCAATCTGGATAGCTTCATTAAGATCATGTACCTTCTCACGATGGAGAATTTGACCCTTGAGGCTTTCATAATCAGAGTTCAGTCCCATTAGAAATGTATACATTCTATGTTTCAACGTATACATGCGTTCTCATAACTAGGGTTATTTACTTGCCAATAATGGTCAATCTCCCTCCATATAGCCTTTAATTCACACGAATATTCCACAATTGATTTACTTCCTTGCACTAAATGTGTTGCCTTAGACACTAGGCCATAAATCCTTCAATCATTGTATTTCTTTGAACAGCTGTTGTGAATTTGATCTTCACCGAGTGCATGAATAAGAAATTCTCATACATCTCTGGTGTCATTGTACTTAACAGCCATGTGTAGATAATAGCCTCTTGTGATTTCCATCCTCCATATTGGATCTGATAGCTTCAATGATTTTTCTGTAAGGTGGTCTATTAAGCCTCTTCTAAGAAGTGTCAGATCAACAAATTGCTCCTATTGATGAAGATTTATCTCATTGAATCTAATTTTCACTGGGATATTTGGGAGAGTATGATATAGTCTCTCCCTTTTTCCAATTATCATTGGAGATGATACGAGTTCCACAGATGATGAATCCCCTGAATGCATTCTAAAAGTCTTTGTCCTTCATACTTTTCAGAATGCCTCAGTTCACTGCTTGCGGAAGGTTTCTTTCTTCCTTGATGTTGCTCCAACATAGAAACAAGAAAAACAAGATTCAAGAAACAAGAAACGAGAAGTATCTGATCCTATCAGAATTAGCACCGCTCTGATACCATGTTGAGAATTAATCTTAATTGAGATTCTTGCAACTTGGAGAATGCAAGGAGTTGATCTTCACAATCCTCCTCTTCTAGGAAGATGAATCAGTCACCACTTCTTCGAGCAGAGTTTCCAAAATCCCAAAATCTTACATCAATTATCTTGGTTTCCCGCTTAAGTACATGTTACATGAGTTAATGGGCCAAGCTCATTACATTAGTCTTTAAGTAGATCTGTTAACAGTCTAATGGTTCCACTTAACATAGGGCATGACAGAGAAGGACGAAAATACAGTGTAAAGAAACAGATAGAAAGGAAAACAATCCTAGAAAGTTCAACACATATGAATTACAATTCCTGGTCTTTTTTTCTTGCGTTGTTGTTTTGGCGACTAGCACAAGCTGGGTGTTGGTGTATGGCTTAGACCCTGAAGTTTGGTGCATTAATGATAGCAATGTTGTCTTAAAGATTCTAATGGAAATAATGATTCGACAGGTACTGTGCTATATTAGCTTTATCTGAAGTTAGTTTGAAGTATTAACACCTGTAAAAAGTGTCCGTATGTAAATTCAAAATAAAGCACCTCTATCTTTGAGGCAATAATAGGACTTTATTCCTACCTTTGATGGCAACTGTCAGAACTAGCTTTAGATCATATGGGTGATAATTTATGAGGGGAAAATTATTTTCAATGCTTCTGTGAAAATTTCATGGTTCAATTCTTTTGTAAACCTTTATCTTGTTCTGTTGATTGATTACTTGATGTTGATAAATTTAGCTTTTAAAACTAATTTTATTAGTCTACATTCTAGCCATGCGCTGAAATATACTATTATCAAACATGTGAGATTTAATCTATTATAGTGATTTATGTTAAGTAATGTTTCCTTTCTTTTGTATACAACTTTCTGTCATTAAGAATATTTCTGCAATGAAAGAGGTGCTCTAAGCCAACGATCAAGGTGACCACTCACCCAAGATTTTCAAGGTATCTGTCTCTTGGATTGCTCACTTGCTGCCTAAGGAATTTCCAGCAAATTATCTGGTGTGAAAGTCCTTTGGGTAAGGTTGACAGATCTAGACACTACAGTTCTTGGTGAAGATGGATCATGCTTGGAATTGCCCTACATCTTTTTCAGTTACTAAGACAGAAATAATGCTTCAAAGGAAGCATTTGTTTTGGGAACTTCCGTGCAATTTGAGGTAAAGCGTGAAAGCATTCTAGGATTTCGGGGAGATGGTGTAGGTTTAGCAAACTTCTAAATTCAGTATACTATGCTAGGTTGTCCGAGATATTGGCATAACAATGGATTGTGGTTATGATAGTTGGAAATGGCAATTGGCACCTCAATAACGTTTTGTATATTATTAGCTCTCCATAAAAATCTTTTAAATGTGTAAATTGTCCCACAATGTTTTTGGCTCCTTGAAACTGGGGAGTTTTGGGACTTGGGGGAAGCTGGTTTGTGGTGGCATCTGTGGAAATGGTAGGCCTTGTGATAGGATGGCGTGGTGATTGATGAGTATACTTGAGTCATTTGGACCAGTAGTTAGCAGTTGACCAGATTTAAACATGGCCAACATGTAAATAAACAGATCAAAATGGAAGGACTAATACGTAAGAGGTGTAACGGTTTTAAGAAGGTATAAGAACCATCAGAAGATACAAGGAATTTGCGTGGTGATAGAAGTAAAAAGCCAAGATATGCTAGACTATCGAAAGGCTGTGGTACCTTTCGTTAGGACTTTTAACACTTAAACAATGGTTTGTTGAGTTTTCAACAAATCTTTTTCGCAATGACAAAATCCTATCAAAAACAATTGACGAGCATTTTGCTTTTCTTTTGCTCAACCACTGTTGTCATGAACATTATATATACAAAAGTTGTTGTAATATTTTATAAATACAT